TTATTATTTATAATAAATTATAAACAACCTCTGTAATTAAACAAAAAAAAAGTATATAAATATAAAAAATTAAAATAATATTTTCTTTTACAAAGCAAAAATCTATAATTCCAAAAAATTTCCTGTGATACATTTTTTATTTGTGAATATGAATTGAATAATATCAATTGAAATAATAGTTTATTAAAGAAAATAATTTTTAAAGTATATGCATGATTTATAATAATAATATTTTAGCATATAATTAAAACATTATATAATAACAAAATAATTAAAATTATATCATAAATTTTATTATAAATTTTATATGAAAATAAAAAGTAATATAAAATAAAATGAATAATTTTTAGAAAATATTAGAAAAGTTTATAATAACAGTGAAAACAAAGATATAATGGCATCTTTCAATGAAGAAGATTTAGAAAATGAAGATTATAAAGATAATTCTAAAGATCTTTATGGTGTCAGAGATGGTATACTTTTTTTAATTGATGCAACACCTCCAATGTTCAAAAATGATCCACAAAATGGAATTCCATATTTTTTGCAATGCATAAAGGTATCACAGTTTATTATTTTTAATTATTTTATAATAATAATATTTTTAAATAATGTTATTTAAATATTAATTTAAAGTTAAATATTTATTTTTAAAGTTTTTTAAAGTAAAAATTTAAAAATTTTAATTTCTTTTTTAATTTAGCAATACAAAGAAATTCTTAAGCAAAAATTAATATGGAATAGACAAGATTGGATGGGTTTAATTTTGTTTGGAACTGAAAAGTATGATTCAGATTCTGAAACAAAAAATATATTAACTCTTAAGAAATTAAATCTTATCTCAAAGGATGATTTAAAAGATGTAATGAAAATAGGTAATCTTTTGATATATATATTGTATATTTTTGTATATATATATATAATATATATATATATATATATATATATTGTACATCTTATTATAAATAAGAGAAANTATTATATATTTTATATTTTATATTATATATTTTATACATAGATGAAGGAAAAACATGGGAATATTACAGAGATAATGCTTCCTTTACTTCTTATCCATTACACGATGTATTATGGCATGCAATACGAGCATTCTCGGCTATACATATTACTATGCCAATGAAAAGAGTAATTCTTTTTACATGTCAAGATAATCCTTCAATAATAGATGATAATGAAAAACATAGAATAAGAGTAAAAGCAACAAGCTATAGTGACATAGATATCCAATTATCTATTGTTGGTTTGGGTGAAAATTGGAATCATGATTTGTTTTATAAAGATTTAGAAATGTTATCTGGAAAAATTGAAGCAGATGATTATAAAAGAACATCTTTAAAAGATTTAATAGAACAAGTAAAGTTGCCCTCCAGAAATATGGCAAAACTACCTTGGAGACTTGGAGAAAATGTGATTATAGATGTATCACTTCGTAATCTTTCTGTGTAAGAAATAAAATTTTATCTAAATTGGTTAATATTAATTTAATTTTTTTTATTACATTATTTAATTTAAATTCTAGAAAAAATTATAGAATTTATTTTTTA